AGAAGAATGCTGCAAGTATCATGGACTACTAAAATAAGTAACAAATCTGTCCTGGAGGAAGTGCAGCCAGAATGGTCCTTACAAGTGAGAATGTCCAGACTTTGTCTCTCCTACTTTGCTCATGTTGCAAGAAGGGACCATTCTCTGGAGAAGGATATCATGCTTGGTAAAGTGGAGGGTCAACAAAAGAGGGGAAGGCCCTTAACAAGATGGATTGACACAGTGGCTACAATGATGGGCTCAGGTATAACAAGAATCATGGAGCTGGCACAGGACCAGGCAGTATTTTGTTCTGCTGTACATAGGGTTGCTATGAGATGGAGACAACTCAACGGCACCTAACAATAACAACAATTGAATAAGAACAACATAGTAGGAGTTCTCACACTCCCAGATCTCAAAACCTACTATATAGCCACAGTAGTCAAAACAGCCTGGTATGACGGCATACATGGACACATGGACCAGTGGAATATAACTGAGATCCTGGAAATAGATCCATTGACCTATGGTTAGCTGATCTTTGACAAAGGGCTGAAATCCATTAAACAGGAAAGGGATGATCTCTCTAACAAATGGTGCTGGCAAAACTGGATATTCATTTGCAGAAAAATGAAAAAGATCCATACCTCACACCATACAGAAAAACTAACTCCAGATGGATCAAAGATTTAAATGTGAAACCTGAAACTATAAACTTCCTCAAGGAAGAAATAGGGGCAAATTTAGGGGCCCTGATTTATGGCATCCTTGGAAGGAAGTTTGGGCAATCTACTTCCATAGTGATACTGCCTTGGAAACCCAAGGAGGGGTCACTATGAGTTGTGTCTGACTCAACGACACAGAACAACAACAATTTATGGCATAAATAGACTGTCAAGCATAACCGCAAATGCACAAACAGCTGAAGATATACTAGATGAATGGGACTATCTAAAAATTAAATTTTTATGTGCTTCAAAAGACTTCTACAACAGAGTAAATACAGAACCTACTGATTGGGAAAAAATATTCAGCAATGACATATCTGACAAGGGACTTATATCTAAAATTTATAGAAAACTCTAACACCTCATCAACAAAAAGACAAACAATCCAATTCAAAAATATGCAGAAGACATGAATAGATGCTTCACCAAAGAGGATCTTCAGGCTACCAAAACACCCACGAAGAAGTGTTAGAAGTGTTCGTGATCACTAGCCACTAGAGAGATGCAAATCAAAACAATAATGAGATACCATCTGGCCCCAGCACTAATTGCAAAGTTCAATAAGACAAAAAAATAACAAATTCTGGTGAGGCTGTGGAGAGATTGGGACTCTCATACACTACTGGTGGGGCTGTAAAATGATACAATGACTGTGGAAAGCATGATGATTCCTTAAAAAGTTGGAATTAGAAATACCATTTGGTCCAGCAATTCCATTACTAGGTATATATCCTAAAGAAGTGAGAGCCAGGACAAGAACAAACATATATACACCATGTTCATCACAGTACTATTTACAATAGCCAAAAGTTAGAAACAGCCTAGGTGCCCACCAACAGAAGAATGGATAACCAACTATGGTACATACACACAATGGAATACTATGCAACCCTAAAGAATAACGTAGAATCTGCAAAACGCCACATAATGTGGGTGAACTTGGAGGACATTATGCTGAGTGAAATAAGTCAATCACAGAAGGACAAAATATCATATTAGTTCATTATTGTAACAAGTCATGGAAACATTTATATATGGAAGGAAACTTTCTTTGTTGGTTACCAGGGATGGGAGGGGAGAGGAGGGAACACTGCAAAAATATAAAAGAATCATTACATGTTATGACAATTTCTCGGTTTTAATCTTCAATTTGGTAAATATATGTGACCCACTTAGAAAAAAGCTTTTGGGGTTGCTCAATTTTTTTTTCATATCATAAAAGGGTCCTGAGACCAAAAAGTTCAAGAACTGCTGGGGTAAAAGAAACAGGAGCTGGACAAATGAGCCAATGAGCATTATTTTAGCACAGTGGTGACAATTTTCTGGCAGACATTGAAAGGAATTTTTGGTTAGTTCTTTCAGATGGAGAGTGAGACCCCTCTTCACCTTTGTTGCCCAGGGACATGCTTAATGATAATGTTTGCCCTTTCCAAGAAGGGAAAATAAAAGCCAAATTCAACCAATTGCTGTCCAGTCGATCTCTCTGCATGGCAACACCATGTGAGTCAGAGTGGAACTGCTTTCCATAGAGTTTTCAATGGCTACGTATGACCTTTCTAAAGTAGATCAATGGAACCAGGATTTTCTTCTGAGGTGCCGCTGGGTAGACTCAAACCATGAACCTTTCAGTTCATAGCTGAGCACTTAACCATTTGCACTACTTAAGGGACTTCTTTGAAGAAGGGAGGAGCTACCTCATGCATGACTTTTGTTACCTAGAGTGGACCTAGAAAGTGTGTGGCTGAAAAGAAAGGTACTCAACCTGTAGGGAGAAGTAGGCCATGGGTGCAGTGAGGGAGAACAGGGAGATCTGAAGAGGATATTTAGGAAGTCCTATGGTGTAGGGTGCCATTCACCTTTCCTCCCTCTCCCCTGTGTTACCAGTACTTTGGGAAGTAGATTGTCTCTTGGGTTAGTGCTTCGAGATATGATATAAAAGCAGTTTGGCTCCATGAAAGGATCACCATATGGGTTTCTATTGAAATACTCTGAAGGCAAAAGTATTGTTACCTAAATTCAGCCATCACCATAGGCCTACACTGCAATTTCAGCTGTCACCATCGCAATTAAAAACTTACAGACCATTCACAAAAATAGATGGCCAAGGAAATAGTCACCAAATGCTATTACATCCACTTGAATTATTTTCTGACAAGCCATTAAAACTGCATGTACCCCTGTCTTACTACATCTTTAAGTATAAGTTTACCTGCAACCTAAACTATTTTTTTTTAAATGAAAGGCTCAGGGAGATTCACACTAGTTGGAGTCGTCAGAGGTTTCACAAAGTACAAACCCAATTTTAATTAGACTTGATTTCTAAAAATTTCCCTTGTGTTTTTTAATTATTAGAGAGAGCAAATATCTCTAATGTTGAACGTATGTCATACAGCCCCCTATGTCAATGCCCTTAATAAATTCCATGTCCTTTTTACAAAGGTTGCACTCTTCAAAGAGCTGTCTTTTTTTTTTTTTTCTTTTTTTTTTGAACCCCTCAAGAGTGGACAATGAGGAGTATAAATCATTTTTTAAAAATATCACACTTCCTCTATAACCTTGAATTTGGCATATGAATATATGAATGTAATAGCTCTGGAATAACTATGCAGATTTATGAGGAATATCAAATTAGATTATATCAAGAGACCCAACTAGGCCTTTCTTTGTGCCAGTGGGGATTTGTTAGAGTTGGGAGATAGTTTGGAGCAAATGTGATTTCTAGTTAAAGTCATCTAAAAATCAATATAGCTGAGAGTCCCTGACATAAGGGTCCCTCTCCAAGCTAGACTTGTTTCTAAAATTGGGAAGACAGGAATAAAAATCAAATCCTGATTAGAAGTAGCTGGAAATTGCAGCCAAGAGTGAAGCTTAGCTTCTACCTCCCCACTGTTTGAAGATGGGCTTGTTTGTTTTTAAAACAGCTAACATAATTCAGCTGGAGGAGGTAGAAAGATTTTTCTATTCCTTGTTTCAGTAGAAATCGATGGACTTTAGCTTGTGTAATTGTCCCCCCTGCGTTTAGTACCTAAGATAAAATAACCCTCATTGCTTGCATTACTGAACGCATTTCTGCGGGCTTGGTGTCTAGGGCTAAACAAGTATTAATTAGATGATCCGCGGAGAACTGGCTGGAGAGAGAAAGGGAGATGGCAGCGGTGCACACTCTGGGTCCCTGATTTTAGGTGGAGACTGCAAATTACTGGGTGGACTAAGGGGACTCCTGTGGGAGGTGAGAGCAGCCCTGGCAGCATCTGCAGCGTGCATAAGCAAGGGGTGGAAAAACCCAAGCACGAAACCAGTTGCAGGACGCCCACTTCACCAGTGGGTAACAATGCCGAGGGGAGATGCTTGGACAGTCTGCAAGCTGCAAAGGACAGCCCCAGGATGTCTAGAGCAAAGTTACCAAAGAGAAGAGAAGCCTTTTACCCTCCCAGCTTCCACTGAGATCTCTTAAAAAATCAATCAGGGTATGAGGAAGGGGGACCTGACAGGTATGGAGGTGGGGTCAACATACGGGAAATGACCTGAGAAGCCGCCGGGCCACGCGTGGACCCGAGAGAGACAGCGGGTGTACTTGGCGAGGTTAGGCGCCGGCTTCTAAAGTCGTGTGATGCTCGTGGCTCTTTTACGATTCCTTACTCTCCTTTCTGATCCTCAAGTAACCCTGGCAGCTCCGGCCTCTGCAAGGCAGAGAACATCGGCGGGACTCCTTCATACGCGGGACTAGGGGGCTAGTTGAGGTCTTCACTGCCCCTTTAAGTGTTTCTGAAACTTTCCCCCCTGGTAGCTGAGAAGCCTCGTCACATCCGTTGGCCGTGCCCGCCAGGGCGCGTTCCGAGGAAATTCGGGACTCGAGTTTCCCGGGGAAGGGGCGCCGCCAGAGACTATCTATAGTGGGCAACACCGGCTTCGGGTGGTCCTCAGTGGGCCCCTCACCCCGCCTTGACCTTGGCCTCGGGGGTGGTGCCAGGTCCCTGCGGGACAGCCAGCGCCCTCCAGAGGGGGCAGCGGCAAAGAACTTGCTCAACTTGGCGGCACAGGCTGGGGCTGACTAGGCGTTTCCTCCTCTTCTCCTAGATCCTCCTACTTCTTAAAATCCTCCTCCTCCTTTTCTGGGCCCTCCTCCTCCTCCTCCCAACCTCCTCCCCTGCTGCCGCCGCCGCCGCCCGCCGCCCCTGTGAGCGCCCAGCCTGCAGCCCCGCAGCGCCCGGCAAGTCGCGGAGCCGCAGCCGCCGCCGGACGGGACGGGCTGGGACGCGCGCGCACCCCGCCCCGGGCTCCGCCGCTGGCATGGGCGCACTGGCCCCGGCGCTTCTGCTGCCGCTGCTGGCCCAGTGGCTCCTGAGGGCGGCTCCGGCGCTGGCCCCGGCACCCTTTACGTTACCCCTGCGGGTGGCCGCGGCTGTGCCCCGTGGGGCTTCGCCCACCTCCTGGACCGCGACAGCCTCCTTGCCCCCAGTCGCGCCCGGTGCTGACGGCCTGGCGTTCGCCCTGGAGCCCGCCGGGGCCGCGGCCAACTTCTTGGCGGTGGTGGACAATCTGCAAGGGGACTCAGGCCGCGGCTACTACCTGGAGATGCTAATCGGGACCCCTCCGCAGAAGGTATGTCGCAGGGCGCTCGCGGGAGCAGCTGGTTCTGCACTTGCACCGCGCTGCCTCTGCGGTGCCCCGACCGCAGCCGCGGGATGTTTGAGGGCTCTTGGGGCAATGAGTCTGCGCGCCTTGGCGACTGCCCTCAAACCAATCAACCGCGGCCCCGTAGAGAAGAGAGGGGAGAACGCAAAGGGGGTCCGGAGACCCAGGCGAGCAGGGACGTTTGCACTTGGGTGGACCAAGCGGTGCCAGCCCCTGCCGGGGGTGTATCCGAGAGGTGCCTACAAGTGTTGGAGAACTTGTGAGCTCCCCTCCCCCCTCCCCTCCGCGAGGCTGGACCGCTGGAGACCAGTAACTTGTTCCTAACGCGATTTCCTCCTGGCGAGCGACACCTTCCAGCGAGGAGAAGATGCCCAGCCCTTGGGCAAGATACTGTTATCATTACTGGGGCAAATCACCTTGTGTTAATATACTAACCCCCCCCTCCCCATGCTGTCTCACTGCTAAGAGGCTTGTGGCCAGCATCCAAAGGCGCAGTACCCTGTAGGAAGGAATTTACACATGAGCTCAGCTGAAAGCAATACTGTTAAGAAGTGGCTGGCTCCCTAGTCGTCACGGAGTAAAGCATCTTTGCCTCTGCACCCCTTTCCTGTCTCCGAGTTCGTTTATCAGCTTGCTTTTCGCTAGCCCAGCTGCCCAGCCTCTGCACCGAGCGCTGCGTCTACACACGTGTGATGGGAAAATATTAAATGTTGTGAACCTACTAGAAAAAAATACTGAGCTGAGCTAGGCTGCAAGGGACCAAGTCCCAACGACTAGCAGATACTGAATTTTCATTCTAAATAAATTCAAGAAGATTTCTTTTATCCAGATTTTCATGAATTGACACTTTTTGTAGCAAGAAACTGATGTCCCTAGACATGGTAATCTTTATAAAAAAGTCTTGCCCCCTCTTCCTTTAAAACTATCTAGTGTAATTGCGATTTGCAGTTGTTTTCTTATCAGTCGAATATACTGTGTGAAGATACTTTATTTTTAACATTGTTGTTTTTGTTTTAATTCAACTATGGTCCCCCTGCAAATAGAACATACTCATTACTTTTGTATAATTCTAATTAAATTATTCAAGCCTTTCTTAAAAGGAAAGACATGCTGAGATAACTCTTAAAAAAAGAATAGAGGCCTGTTTTCTGAGGTTTTTCTGTTCTGAGGTTCCTCTGGGTGGACTTGAACTTCCAACCTTTCAAAATTAGCAGCTGAGTGTTTTATCCTTTGCACTACCTAGGGATACCAAAAAAGGAGACAAGAACAAAAGAAACTCTGCCAAATAACTTCTATAGTTATTTAATTAGTTTCCTTAAACAAAACAAAAAAAGAAACTTCAAAAGTCTATTCTGTTCAAAACTTTAATTCTAGTTGGCTTTCATCTAAGTCATGGGAATACATGTGACCAAGCTTGACCATCTTCAAGGGTGGGTGGTGTCTGGAGGGCAGAGGGGGGTGAATGGGAATGATGGTCAGCTGAGGAAGCTTAACTTGACCAGAAGCTCGTCAAGTTAACAGATCCTGGGAACAGCCTGAAAGCATGTTCTATGGTCAGGGGCCTTGTAACTCACATTTCACCAGACTGTGAGCATTACTCTCTTCTGGAGCCCACTGATATGCACTGACTCCCCATTTAGGAGGTGTTAGGCTTGAAAACCTCATGTTGATTTTCAAGTGGAAGTAAATTGTCTCTACTAAAGTCAATTTTGATGGTTTGGGTGCTGGAAAAGGAACCAACCAGCCAACCTACTGCCATCGAGCCAATTCCAACCCATAGTGACCCTTTAGGAGAAGAGAACTGCCCCATAGGGTTTCCAAGGCAGTAAATCTTTACAGAAGCAGACTGCCTCATCTTCCTCCTGAGGAGCAGCTGGTGGGTTCAAACCACTGACCTTTTGGTTAGCAGCTGAATGCCTTAACCACTGTGCCACCAGAGCTTCTAGAAGAAAAGGGAAGGGGAAAAAAACTCAGGAAAGACTAAAAAAATGCTTTTTTTGCTTGCTCAAGAAAAACCTTTATGTATATATGAGCTACCTTGTTCTTTATAGATGTATGTATGTATGTATGTATATAAAATATACATACGTAATATACGTATTATGTGTGTATTAGATTTGACTCATAGCAAACCCTCCTTGGGTTTCTGAGGCAGTGTCACTATGGAAGTAGATTGCCCAGCCTTCCTTCTGAGGAGTGGCTGGTGGGTTTGAACCCTCAGCCTTCTGGTTAACAGTCAAATGCCTTAGGCACTATGCCACCAGAGCTCCTAACATATATATATATGCACACACACACATATATACGTATATATGTATGTGTGTGTGTGTGTGTATACATATATACATATATGTTTTTGTTATGTGCCATCGAGTCGGACCCGACTCATAGTGACTCCTCCTTGGGTTTCCGAGGCAGTATCACTACGGAAGTAGATTGCCCCATCTTCCTTCCGAGGAGTGGCTGGTGGGTTCGAACCGCCAGCCTTCTGGTTAGCTCTGGTTAGCAGTCAAGTGCCTTAGGCACTACACTACCAGAGCTTATATATATTTATATATATATATATATAATGAGGCAGCTAGTTACTAACAACAACAAAAAAAAAAAAACTTTATAAATACATGTAATGCTTTGCCTTATTAACCAATCCAGTGACCTTTATTTTTAAATGGGGAGATTTAATTAACAGGAATGTACTGAACATCTGTGCTTATATCTTTACCTTGGTCGCGAAAGTAGTCCATTCAGGGTTATTTCTCAGTGAAATGTTATCATGTTTCCAGGGAGGGAAGTTTTCACTATCTGAATTTAATTTTTGCATTTTGCGTTTGATGGGGAATGAGATATTCTTTCTGTACCCCCTTCTTGTCTTGATTTAGTGATAAGCCGCTTTATAGCAAAATCCATGTGTACAGTCTTTTCAACTGCCTAATGTAAACTCATAGACGTTTGTTTCTAGTGCATTAGGATGCATGTCTTGGCTGTCTCCCCTGAAAGGTCTCTGACCACCAGCAGTGCCTTCTCAGCAGGCTGGAGAGGGCAGTAGCCCTGTGACTTTTGAAACTGGAGTGAGCATTCCTGCTCTATTAATGGCCAAGGGTCACACATATATTATGCAGTGATTAAAGCATTGAGCTATAAACCAAAAGGTCAGGGGTTCAAACCCATCAACTGTTCTGCTGGAGAAAAATGAGGCAGTGTGCTTCCATAAAGATTTGTTTGTTGTTATAATATGCTGTCCAGTTGGATCTGACTCATAGCGACCCCTCCTTGGGTTTCTGAGGCAGTATCACTACCTACATTGCCCAATCTTCCTTCTGAGTCCATAAAGATTTAGAGCCTTGGAAACCCTATAGGACAGTTCTGCTCTGTCCAGTAGTGTCCCTACAAGGTGGAATCCACTCAATGGGGAGTAGATTTTGGGTTTTTTGATTCTCCAAAGCCTAAAGTAAAATTGCTTAGGTAGAGAGAAAAACAGAATTATATATTCAAAAAAAAACTAATCAAGAAATAAGTAAGAGTAATAGACAGGTGCCCTGGTGGTGTAATGGTTAAGCACTTGGCTGCTAATTGCAAAGTCAGAGGTTCAAACCCACCAGCTGATCCATGGGGAAAAAAAGACCTGCTCCTATAAAGATTACGGTCTAGGAAACTCTATGGGGCAGTTCTACTCTGTCCTATAGGGTCACCATGAGTCAGAATCAACTCAGTAGTCTGTGAAGCATTGGTGGTTCAGTGGTGGAATTCTCGCTTTCTATATGGGAGACGTGGGTTCAATTTCGGACCAGTGAACCTCATGGAGTGTTGCTATGATACTATATAGGCTTCAGTGGAGCTTCAGGACTGAGATGGACTAGGAAGAAAAGCCTGGTTATCTACTTCCAAAAATCAGCCAATAAAACCCTATGAATCACAATAGTCTGATTTGCAACCTACCCTGATAATGGCACGGGACCAGATGGTGTTTTGTTCCATTGTACGTAGGGTCACTGTGAGCTGGAACCTCCTCCAAGGCAGTGAACAACAACAGTTCTCTGAGAGTTCCTCACGTGGCAAGTGCTGTGCTGTATGTGCTGTATATGCTTACTCCTGAAACCCCCACAACCACCTTCTGGTTCTTATCCTCATTTGATGGATAGGGAAACTGAGGCTTGTAGAGGTTCAATGACTTGCCAAAGGCAATAAGGGAAGAAAGAGGGAGACCTAGAAATAGAACCCAGCACTGGTCCCGAGAGCCCAAGGTTAAGCCCTGTGTAGGCAACGGTTCTCTTCCCCTGTCACCTCCTGATTTCTTTGGGTTCAAACTCTCCTTTTTTAGCCAGAGATCCCAGAACTTTATATGCCAAAGTGATGGGGTCTTAATGTGTTATTACAACTGGACAGTCCTTCCATTCTCTACCAGGAAAAAAAAAAAAAAAATCCCACCTCATTGCTGTCAAGTTGTTTCTGACTCCAGGGCAACCCCATGTGTTAGAGTAGGAAGGTGCTCCATAGACTTTTCTTAGTTATAATCTTTATGGATGCAGATTGCCAGGTCTTTCTTCTGTGGCACTACTGGGTGGGTTTGAACCAACCTTTAGGTCAATAGTCGAGTACAAACCATTTGTGCCACCCAGAGACCTCCAGTTCCTATAGTTTTCTATTTTTCCCCCTTCATCCAGGGCAGTGCTTAAACTCAGCTTAATGAACAGTACTCCTAGGAGAGAAATTGAGAGAGGAGACTCAGAGGAACCAAAACCCCACAGATCATGGCTCCCCTGTGGGAAAGCCAACTGTTGCAAATGTGGTTGTTCCCTGAATGCTTTAATCAAGGATTGGAGCCTATTATTCTTCCTGGCAACTCTGTGAGGAGTCACAGGCATATGCCCAGCAACTCGTATGATATCCACAGAATCAGGTGCTGTGGGTGGGCAAGACCACATTGGCATGGAAATGCACGCTGGGTTTTGTTCATGGAGACCATTATG